CTGGAGGCCAGTTGGGATAATGGTATTTAAAGAGCTACACGTAATGCTTACTGTAGAACTAGTAGTGGAAGTGTACTGGAGGCCAATTAGGAGAATATTTAAAGAGCTACACGTAATGCTTACTGTAGAACTAGTAGTGGAAGTGTACTGGAGGCCAATTAGGAGAATATTTAAAGAGCTACACGTAATGCTTACTGTAGAACTAGTAGTGGAAGTGTACTGGAGGCCAGTTAGGATAATGGTATTTAAAGAGCTACACGTAATGCTTACTCTTACTTTAATAAAAAAAACAACTCAAACGTTTTCTCGCCCCAAAGACTGGTGAAGAAGGCACCAGAAAAAACGAAAACAAAAGAGAAACAAAGAAGGAGACACATGGTTGAAGACGAAAGTTATGGTCTTTGAAAAAAAAATCAGATAGTCCTGGACTTCGTAAGCTGTAGTATCTGTGAGAGACTGGAAGAAAGAGTTCGTAAGGTATTTCTTATTGAATAGAATCCATCACTTCACTTAGCAAGCTCATATCCATACAACATGTTATTTATGAAGCCATTTTGAATCATCAGTGTGTGATAAATCATTTCTGTCAGTTGTTCTTAGCACTTCATAGAAGATTTGTAGCTTATAATATGGGCAAAAAAAAAACCGTTGAAAGGAGAAATACAGGTGGTTATTTCACACTCCATTTTTTTTTAATTATATTCAAAATGGTAGATAGTTTTCTATCTTTTCGTGATTTTTTTTTTGTTCTGAAAGGAGCTTTCTTGGCTTCAAAATCAATTTAATATAAACCAAATTCACCGTATATTTCATATCATTTCTGAAGCTTTCAAAATTGATTTTTTTAAAGTATTGAAATGAATAACCTAAAATGTGAAGCCAAACGGCAGTGAAACAAACCGAGTGAAAAGAACTAACAGAAAACGTCTCCAGTACTTTGGTTTCCTAAATTATGATTGTTGTTAATTATGATTGTTGGTTTCATTGGTAGAATTTTTACTGGTTGATTTCATTGGTTTGTTTGCGGGTTACAACATTATCATGCGAGTTAAGAATAGCAGTTTCATTGGTAGAATTTGTACTGGTTCGTTTCATTGGTTTGTTTGCTGGTTACAACATTATTATGCGACTTAAGAATAGCAGTTTCATTGGTAGAATTTTTACTGGTTCCGCGGCTATTGATGGTTCCCTATAACTATCAAACAAAAAAATGTTTATACATTTTGGTGTGGCGTTTTTTTTTTAATGGTTATGAAATTAAGTATTGAGATTAACGCAATTATTTCTATGAACTTATATTATTAATTAAAATAAAGCAGTAGATGGAAGAGCAGTCTTAATAAACACAGAAAGTGGGTAAAAGAAAAAAACTGAGCGAACGATGTTAGACCAAAGGATTTCTGAGTCATATTTCAGAGTTTCAAATTCTTGTTTAAATAATTCTTGTCTGTAAGTTCGTAGAGTTGTTTCTATAGAAGATAGTAAACCGAGATAAAAGGTGTGGCGAAAATAATGATAAAATATAATAATAATTCCAGCTCACGTACAGAATACTTTTATCTAATTAAACTAAGTGTTTTCCAGATGAGCAATTGGACAGTATCAAGACAAGGTATAATAATTCACGGAGACAAAGTTACGAGAAACTGATATATATCTGCTAATTAACGCAGTGTCGTGTGGGCGCAGGTGCGAGCACTAGTGCCATAGCCAATCCGTTTATCCCTGAGTTAGAGTTAAAACATATTATCACAACACTTTTACAGGATAGGGTGTTCTGTTAAACGACACGAATGAGTCCAAAATACAAATCATTTCCAAAAAGGCAATCTTCAGTTTTAGGAACCTATGAGTGAAAGCAAATGAGAATATTTTCTTAATTCAACAACACTACATATACTATATCCAGTGCCGAAGAGGCTTTTTGCTCAATACCAGGACTCATCAGGCCTATTGGAATGCAACATTCATATTAGTTTGTTTGTAATTAAGCACAAAGCTACACAATAATGGGCTATGTGTGCTTTGCCCACCACGGGTATCGAAACCCGGATTCTAGCGTTGCAAGACCGCAGATATACCGCTGGGGGGCGACATATTAGTGGTCTAGACACTATATATATATATATTCTATAATCGCGTGAATCTGATCAAGCATGTGAATTGTAATTATTAGCAAGTTAATTTTAAGTTATTTGCAAATCAAATTTTTGCTTAAGAATTAATACCACAGATTTGAAAAAATCAAGGAACTTAGAATAGCAATAAACTCCGATTTCGGAGCACCAACATAACCGCAAAGCGAGCCTGAGATGACAACTAAAGGTCCAAAAAGTCATTGCAATGAAAATATGATACATGTCCTGGTCCCGTCAGAGAAGATAATAAAAATTGAATCGAAGTTGATAAAAAATCCAACCTCATCTTTGAAACAAAACACTACAATTATAGTCGGTCACTTTCCTATCAAGTCGGGCCCCGGCACGGCCAGGTGGTTAGGGGGCGTTCGACTCGCAATCTGCGGGTCGTGGGTTCGAATCCCCCGTCACATCAAACATGCTCGCTCTTTCAGCCGTGGAGGCGTTATAATGTGACGGTCAATCCCACTATTCGTTGGTAAAAGAGTAGCCCAAGAGTTGGCGGTAGGTGGTGATGACTAGCTGCCTTCCCTCTAGTCTTAGACTGCTAAATTAGGGACGGCTAGCGCAGATAGCCCTCGTGTAGCTTTGCGCGAAATCCATAACAATCCTCTCAAGTCCAATAATTTTGATTTGTTTAAACTTGGCCCTTTCATCAAGCGAAGGATCTGTGATGGATAATTGCGCGGTCTAAGACTGACTTTTGGGAATTGGGTAATCATGATGGCGAAACTAGGATCTGGAACTTTATTTATAACGTTTGTATTTACAAATGGTTTTCTCTGCTTAATTTTATTCTGTCTTTGAGTCATAATAAAAAATAATGATGTCCAGCAAATAACAATAATAAAATAAAGAAACATATGTCCATTAGTCTGTGTAATAGGCGTAGTAAGTAATGGGTCTTGGATGTCGTGACATCAATATAGTAAGTAATGGGTCTTGGATGTCATGATATCAGTATAGTAAGTAATGGGTCTTGGATGTCATGATATCAATATAGTAAGTAATGGGTCTTGGATGTCATGATATCAATATAGTAAGCAATATGTTTTGGATATCGTGATATCAGTATAGTAAGTAATGTGTCTTGGATGTCATGATATCAATATAGTAAGTAATGGGTCTTGGATGTCGTGACATCAATAGAGTAAGTAATGGGTCTTGGATGTCGTGACATCAATATAGTAAGTAATGGGTCTTGGATGTCGTGACATCAATATAGTAAGTAACAGGTCTTGGATGTCGTGACATCAATATAGTAAGTAATGGGTCTTGGATGTCATGATATTATTATAGTAAGCAATGGGTCTTGGATGTCATGATATCAATATAGTAAGTAATGGGTCTTGGATGTCATGATATCAATATAGTAAGTAATGGGTCTTGGATGTCATGATATCAATATAGTAAGTAATGGGTCTTGGATGTCATGATATCAATATAGTAAGCAATGGGTCTTGGATGTCATGATATCAATATAGTAAGTAATGGGTCTTGGATGTCATGATATCAATATAACAATTGAATTGTTTCCATCGCTATCTGTTTATTTCTTACTACTGGTCCTTTGTTACATCTTTCCACACAGCAAACGGTATGGTGGGTGGAAAAGAGGGGAAGGTAAAAGACAACTTGAATGCTTGTAAAAAGATAATGTATTAAAAGCTACCCCCCTACCACCCTTTACTCACTTCCGATGCTTCAGCGGCAGGTCTGAAGGCGTATAACGCTAAAAATTGGATTTAGATATTCGCACTGGGCACAGAACGCATAGCCCTTTATGTAGCTATGGGCTTAACAACAAACAAACAAACGAATTATCTTCAGCGTCGTTTATTTTAGACGACTGACTTAAAAATCTGGGATTACTGAGCCCCTGTCTTCTGGCTTTTAAATGGATTGTTTGTACGTGCGTGTGCATTGTGATAACTAAAGACATGTAAAAAAAAATAAGAACTTGTGACGCGTTCAGTGAAACGGCCTGACATAACTTCAGAGTTGCGAGTAATTTGGGTGATTCAACAAACGTTTCTAAACTGTTTGGGCACGTGTTTTACATTCCGTGAAACGATGATATTGTTTGACAATCAATGATATAGATTTTCAACGTGCGTGGTCTCGGATAAAGCTAATATGTCCGATTAGACAAAACGAATATCTTTGTCGATTTTTTCCCACAGCGACCAAAGTTCTGCGTCGTTTCTACACGTAGAAGCCTTTAATACGGACTTCCCTCAGTACATTTTTATAGTTAAACGGCTTATTAATCTGCAAACGGAAATAATAAATAATAATAAACCAGAAAGGAAAAGACAAAATCGTGAAGTTTCCCTTTGCGCTTGCCAATGATCTCTTCGTGTGAACGCCTACAGATTGCGTATGTGTCTTTGTTTATATAGTGTAATTGACACAAGACAAACGCGCCACCTGAACTTGGCATCAATTTATTCTAACCGGTAGAAATACTAATTATATATATATATATATATTATTATTATTAAATGTCGCGAGACCGGAACACTTTGGTAAATCGTGACTCGAAACAACAAACAGAGGATTACTGAGTCGTAAGTTAAGTCGGAGAGACCGTAATAGCCTTTGTTTGTCTCGTCGCGTCCCCAAGAACGAAAACAGTAGATAGTTTCAATAGCTTACCTCAGAGCAATAAATTTAATTTATGAACATAATATAGTTTGATTCTGAATGCCAAAAGCTGTCACTTTTAGGGTTGAGTTTATGTAACATGTTAGTGACGTGTGTATTTCTTGAATGAGTCGAACTTAGCTGTCATTACCGTATTAATTCAAAAATAAAGATGTAAAGTAACCAAGTCATTGGAGTGATCAGACATTATACATGTTTATATTTGTATGTATTTAACTTTGTTGTTTTGGGGCTACTACCATGTCCATAACCAGATGATGTTGTTGTTTTGGGGCTTGTACCATGTCCACAACCAGATGGTGTGGTTGTTTTGGGCTACTACCATGTCCACAACCAGATGGTGTTGTTGTTTTGGGGCTTGTACCATTTTCACAACCAGATGGTGTGGTTGTTTTGGGGCTACTACCATGCCCACAACCAGATGATGTTGTTGTTTTGGGGCTTGTACCATGTCCACAACCAGATGGTGTGGTTGTTTTGGGCTACTACCTTGTCCACAACCAGATGGTGTTGAAGTAATGCCTACAGACGATTATGTTGTTGTTTTGGGGCTACTACCATGTCCACAACCAGATGATGTTGTTGTTTTGGGGCTAGTACCAATATTCACAATCAGATGGTGTGGTTGTTTTGGGGCTACTACCATGTTCACAAACAGATGGTGTCGTTGTC